TATAATACAATACAGAGCAAAACAGATCGGTTAAGAATTACGTATATGATGGCAGCAAATAAATGCTTCTTTTTTTCAGCACGATCGTATTTCTTATGTTTTATATGGAGAAATACTATGGTCTAAAATAAAATAATTGCTCAGATAAGATAATTAGATAAAAATATAAGAAAATTATTGTTTTTGCAATTTGACATCAAGCTGTATTGTAAACATCTTACTAGAATCTTACAATAAGAGTTTATATAAGTATTTTTTTTTAGAGTCAATAACTGTTTGTATCTTTTCATCTGTTTTGGATAGATTTTGAAAAAAGAATAGTCACTAAAGCTTAAAAGATTTCGCTGTTTGTTCTTTGGTCCTAAATATAGATCGTAAAAAACTTATACAGTAATCAAACCATCGTTTGCCTATAATCAGTCATATTTAGTCTTGTACAATACGAAGAAATACTATTCTCATACCGACTCGTGTAAAATCTTGAGTTTTTTCATTGCCGGTCATCTACAATCATGTCTGTTCGACGTAGGTACCAAATTTACTAAGAGTAGCGGATGATGTTTGAAGAGAAGATCAATACGCGGTGCTGTTTCTGATGAAAATAAATTAAATTATTTTTCTTCTCAAATTTTACTATTCGTCTGACTAATTACTTTGACAAACATTGATTCACTTGAGACAATACAAAATTTGTTAAGTAATAGCTATAATTATTGCTTTATACAATAAAAACGTAACATACAAAATAATTTATCTGTATTCATATGAAGAAAAACAAAGTTTGTTTGTTGTTTCTAGATATAAAATGATGTCAATGATCAGTTTTATAATTTATGCTTTCTTTCTTATTTTAACAAAACCAGCAATATCTATAACAAGTGTTATCTTGTCAGCTATTATTCAAAACACATAGAATACACCAGTTCAATGCATTATTAATTGGACAACATATAACGGTTCAACATCGAATCAAAATATTATTAGAGTTGAAAGCAATAATTATATAAAGTTGTATTTGAAAAAAACATTAATATAGATACATCAATAGTAGGTGCATTTATCCAAGAAATTCGTTGTGATGACTTAGTGCTTTATGCTCCATTCGCAAGAGTTCTTGCAGTAGAAAGACTTTTGAGAATTTCGTGTTGAATCAGATAGAATAGTTTCAATTGGATGAAGTTCATATGTATTTTAAAATAATTCAAAGATTAACTCATTCATTTTCTATTGAAAAACAAGATCTTCTGTTTTCCTCAAAAATAATCGATCTATTTCTTTGAATTGTTCGTTTTTCTAAATAACCATCTCCTGTTTTATCCGTAGAGCACATGATCAAGCTTTTTTACAATTTGAATCTTTTGAAATTTATGAAACCATAACAATATACATGTTTAGAAGAACGCTGGCAATCATAGAGAAAATGAGAAGAACATTTTTAATGATATCTAAAAACATATGAGTCATAATCATATTGCTGTTGAAATATATGCGACAGTTTATTCTTCTTTCTATAATTGTTTCTCCTGTTTGGATACTTATATGAGATGTATGTACACACCTTGCTCGTTTGTTTATCTTTTTTGTATTTTCGACCATTTAAAATTTGTATTCTATTAAATTTTCACCAGCTTCTCTCACTGTATATATAGTGGCGGACATAAGTTTAGAGCAGTTGTATTTTTGAGTTCTCTATTCAATGTAAGGTCCAGGTAATTCGAACTTCACGTAAAACTTTTTTTTTGTCGCGTTTTTTTTACATCATTTGATAGAATGTGAGCTAATGATCACGAAAATCTACTTTCTAGCCTTAGTAAGTGCTTCCTTCTGATTGAAAAATACGAAATACTCCGAAGGTGTCGTTTTCTTCAAAAAACAAATCTTTTTCAAAATGTGTAAAATTTTCTACTTCGTTGTTTTTTTTCAGCTTCTGAAAATAACTTTTTCGAATTCAGCATCAAAAACTGAGTATAAACAAGTTGTTAAATCGACTCCAGACCCAAAGCTTTATTGTTGGTAGCGCTTCGAATCGCATCGAGGGCACTACGTATAGATCGATTTTGTAAATCTATCCAACTTTTCTACGTAAGTGATTGAATCAAATATTTTATCTTATTCGATTCATCATACCATCAGTCACAAAGTTACATATCCTTTTTCTTTCTTTTCTTTTCTTTGTCGACATTAAATCGTTTTTACTAAATTGTGAGCAAAATGGCTAGAACTCTGCCTGTATTTCTCAATTTTCTTCATCAAAGCTAACTTTTCGTGCAATAAGATTATCATATTCAGAATCAGCGTGAAGAATCACGTCGATCTATGGATGTTTCCAAAAATTTCGTCATCTTTCATTTTTTTGGTGAAAATTTCAGTCACGACCAGTGGAAAATTCGAAAACAACTGAAGTCAATGGAAACGACAAAAGTATACATCGATCGACGCGATTTTTCACACTGATTCCGAATATATTAATCTTATTGCGGAAAACTTATTTTTGATGAAGAAAATTGAGAAATACAGACAGAATTCTAGCTATTTTGCTCACAATTTAGTAAAAACGATATATCTCGACAAAGAAAAGAAAAGGAAGAAAAAGGATACGTAACTTTGTGACTGATGGTATGATGAATCGAATAAGATAAAATATTTGGCCTCCTCATTTAACCAAAAAGACTAAATAAGTTTACAAAATCTACTTATACATATTACACTTAGCGAGATTCGAAGCGCCACCATCAGAAGATTTTCGAGGTTAGAGTCAATTTAACAACTTGTGTATACTCAGTTTTTGATGCTGAATCTGAAAAAAAAACATTCTCAGAAGCTTGCAACAAGAAGAAAGTAGAAAAGTTTGCTCATTTTTGAAAAAGATGTGTTTTTTGAAAAAACCCGACTTCATGTAAGTTTTTCGTGTTTTTTGACCTGAACAAAATCATTTGTTGAAGCTAAAAAGTAGATTTTCGTGATCAATAGCTCACGCTCTATTGATCTATAGAAAAAAAAGGCGAAAGAATAATTTTTTACTTGAAATTTATTTTGCCGACACCTTACACTGACTGTTGGTAGTAATACATATTCCAAAATGTTGCATCATCACAAACAAATTGTGAATTTTGTATCGAACTTAATATAATAGCTTCATTTGGACGAAGTTTATAACATGATTTAAATTAGCTTTTGTTCTCCTTCAAACCACATAATCAGTTCTTTTTCATTTAACTATTATATTTGTTTTTATCTATTTACGGGTTTTCCAAATAATATCAATAGATCTATTTGTATATTACAAATCCTAGTTTTTTATATTGTTATCATGTTTCAAATTCATACTAATAATTATAATGCATGAATAACTCAGTTTGAATCGTCAATTATTTTTAAATTTAAATCAAAGTTAGGAATACAGATGACGTATTTAGCGTAAATACTATGCAATCTTTCATACTGATTAGAAATGTCACTTCAGAAAAGAAAAGCAGACAAAGGTTAAAAATTTGACTACTAGAATATGCTATTTTACTCGAATCACTAGAAACTACTTTATTATTAATGAAAAATTAGTAGATCAATCTTATTTGTGAATCAAAAACAAAATCATAAATTTTTTATATAGTATTAGATAAATATTAGGTGGTCGAAATAGTTTAACAAAATTTTTAAAGCTATCTTTTTTTTTGATTTATGCTTTATTTTATTGTAACACTTGTAAGTGTTTACAGCGAACATAATGATAGACCGAAAGATAGAACTGGAGAAAGAAATTATCTTCTTTATCAAAAATCATCTATTGAACATCCGATTCCTCATTGGTCATAGTTGGATAAATAATATATATCATAACGTATAGAATGATTTAAAACAAAGTTGATTTACAAATTTAGATAATTTTTCATTTCCTAGTGAACTCTGTACGAGAGATGTGTGCAACCAAGTCTTTTTTTAGTTCCGATTCCGACCTTGATCTCAACTTATAGAAAACTTTTTAACAATTCATTCTCATTAAATCTGAAGTCTCATATATCCGTGTTTTGATTAATGTGATTCATAATATAATTCAATAAAAAATCATAGACAATTCAACTACAATTTTCAATTTCGATTCGAACAACTTTGTTTTCGTAGTCCAAATTTCGATTCAGGTCCGGTACATTTTAATTGTTGACCTCGAAACGAAAAATAAAACTGATTTCGCACACTCCCCTTTGTACTCTTCCGAAGTAAAGAAGAATTTTTTAAAAGATAAGATTTTTTTTATTTTTTTTTTTTGAAAACCAAACATTTTATTCTTGCTATGATTCAGAAACAGTCAGATATGAAACATTTTTTTTTACTAATCAAGTTTAGGTGTCGATTCATATTCTTTATCTTAAATATAAAGACAATGTTCTTATCTTTTGGTGTATATATATAAGCACATACGAGTTACATTTTCTTACTTTCACTTTACTTTTGTATTTCAGTTACAAATTGGTTTTTTATTCTTCATTTCATTTATATTTTATCTTTTTGTGTGAAAAATAATTATGGCATCACAAATGTGCGGACTCAAAGCTCCTGGTCATGTTTATGCAGGAACATTACAAAATACAAGTGACAATGATGTTACTGTTGAAGTTGAATATGGTGGTTCGGATAGTAGTCATAGAGAAACAATGAATGTAACTGTACCTAAAGGAGGTTCACAAAGACTTGAAGAAAAATCTGTTCAAGTTGGTGATAATGAACAACGTAAAGTTATTCAAAAATTAACTGTTAGATCACAAGATGGTACAACAAACGAATTATCAGCTCCATTTGCAGGTGTTACATCACCAAAAGCAAATTGGCAATTTGAAGTTGGTCAAGATGGTTCACTTAGATCAGTATCATAATAAAATTCCAACAAGGATAGTTAATATAAATGATAGATATTTCATTATTAAAACAAAAAAAAAAAGAATTTATGCTAATTTTTATTTGATTTTGAAAAATAAATAAATAACGTAAACAACGAATTTTTATTTCTAATTCATTCTAGCATATATAGAACAAATGTTTTCATCAAAACGATGATTATTTACAACATAAAGAATATTTTCAACTATTTTCATTCCACCTTGAACATCAGGTTCAATAGAATTTGCATAATCATTTGGATCATTAAATATTGTTTTTAAATCGATAACTGGAATTCCAAGCTAAAAACAAAGAAAAAACCACCAATCAGTTTATAATACAAATTAAGTTTCTTTTTTTTTCTATACTTTAGTTGATTCTGTAATAATAATATCATTTAATGCTGATAAACCTGTTTCACACATTGTTTGTTGATGTGAATTATCAAAACGTGGATTATAAATAGTACATGTTGTTACAGGAAGTTTTGATTTAGTCACTTTTGTTAACATATCAACATAATCCTAGAAAAAAAATAGTTATTTAAATGAAATAACAAATGTGCTCAGTTTCTTTTTCTCTTACTTTTTCAAATTTTTTTTTTATTTTACTAAGCACTATTAATGCTTCACCAACATTTTTAACTGAATCATTTAGATGATGCATATAAGACAGTGCATTATTTCCACCTAAAAATAAATAAATAAATAAATTTGTTCTTTTATATTAAATTAAAGAAAATAAATTTTACCAATTGAAATAAATAAATGAGTAGCATCAGAAGAAACATGTTTTATTTGATTACCAACATCTGAAAGGACATTTCCATCGACAGCAAGTAATGTTGCATTCCAATCGAAATCTTTAACTTTTGCTTTAAGTTGATCGATTACAGCCGGTTGATCTCGACCAACATATGAACGATTATCAAAAATACTATCACCAAGTAAAATTAAATGACGTATTTGAGATACCATTTGTTAAATTTAAAGAGTGAAAGTCAAATAAGCTAGTTGGGTATAACTAAATAAATATGTCATTTATGATTCAGACTTTGCACCCAAACATCTTTTTTCTTTCTTCCTTGTTTTTCTCTTTCTTCCTTGTTTTTCTCTTTCTGTCATTCTCACACAAAAATGAATCATTGAAAGTTCTCGTTCCTTCTATCAAATTAAACACAACAGGGCTCCAAATGGATTGGGCTAGGCTTATCAGAGTCAACTTGCGGGTTAGCAAACTTCAGCCCAGTCCATCGATGGCCTTTCCTTCAAAAATGATTCAGTCCATGGACAGTTTATCGAGTAAAAATTTTTTTTTTTCAAAGATAGTTTAACTTGTTATTCTGATGAGGAGTATTAAAATTTTTTTATTACATAAATTTAATCACACTTTGTTTACGAGAAAGAAGAATAAGAAAAAAACATGTTATTAAATAGAAACAAAGTTTTTCGACGTAAATAGACAAATAAATTGATATTAACAATTTGCTGACAAAATGCCTACATATCGACATAAGACCGGCAAATTCTAATGGACGAACTTAACTAGTGACATACTTAAATCAATCGCATTTGCCGATCTTGTGCCGGCATGATAACATTCTGTTTTTTGTCAGTAAATTATTGTTACTCGTATTTTATCTTTTTATCTTTATTCTCTTTTGTAAATTTTACCCGTTCATCATTACATTAATATTTGAATTAACGAAAGGATCAAATGAGTTTTTTCGAAGGCAATAAATTTTGCAGTGGTACAATATGCTGTGTCTAGAGAATTTTGTGTAATAATATTCAAGACTATTATCAATATATGAGTCAAAGCTCGTAACCTATGCAAAAAAAAGACAAAAAAAATCTGACTTCCTTTGATTTTTTTCTGGTTAAAAATCAATTAAAATGATATTGTTATAATTTAATTTTAAATAGATTATTTGGTTTCCAATCAATCAAAACAAAACTAATCGATTCCAATCTAATTTATCGATATTTTGTACTATTTGAATAAGTTTAAATTGAAATGCGTATCTCGAAGTCTAACTTATGTGTTAAAGAGTGGTTTAGTATTATACTTGTCGTTTGTTGAACCAAGGAACGTGTTGTACAATCATTGCGGTTAAAACCAACAAAAAAGTAAATAATCTATTTCAATTAATTAAAAACTAAATAATCTGATGCAAACAAGTTTAAAATAGTAGCATTTTAACCAATTTTGAATTAGAAAAATATTGATCAAAACCAGATCAGATCAGTCCAGTCTATGGTTTTATTTCCAAAACAAAAAATTTTGGCCCATGGATTGGACTTGGTTCAGTCCATTTGGAGCTCTGAAAAGCAATGCATACATTTTTTTTTAATGACAATCTACAATTCTAGTTACAAAAATAAACTAAAACAGATGGAAACTTGACTTTTTCAGAAGTGAATGATCATCTTCAGATCAGTAAAACAAAAAAAAAATTATTAAAATCGATCGACTAGAACTCGACTTATACGCATTTTGTCTTTTTCGGAACACAACGGTAAAATATCTAGGCTCTCCATTCATATATGTGATAAGAGTTTCAGCTTTCTACATCAAGAAACAGTATGAAAAATGTATTATGAGACGTCCTTTAATAAATTTCAAAAAATGATGTTTATTTTTTATTAGTAAGAAAAATAAATATAAAATTTAAGATTCATTTATCTGCAAAAGATCACTTAATGGTACCGAATGTTGTTTTAAAGCAATTTCTTTATAGAATACATTGTCTTCATTTGCTTGAATTATTCCTTTATCTATGAATATAAATAAATAAATAAATTTTATTTTTTTCTCACTTTCGTTTACATACCGCTCTGACGTTGTGACAGCGAACTTTTCTTTAATACATCAGCTGAAGGTTCTCGTGATTGTTGTTTAATACTACTACTTTTATTAGCTGTTGAAATTGCTGAACGTGCACGAGAATCAAATGATTTTATATACCAATCTTGAGCATTTGAATCAGGTTGAAGAGGTTTTCGTAAACATCGTTCAGCCAATGTTGGTTTAATATCAAATCTTTCTGGATTATCAATACGAGTTTTTTCTCGATCAAGTTTTGTTTGATTAAGAATATCTGCGCTCTATATATATATAATTAAATGAAAGTAATTTTTTCCCACTAAAAAAAAGCAAATAAACAAACTCGTTGTTTTCGATAAGCATGTGATGGATCAGTAAGTAATTCAGTAGCTTTTAAATTATTTTTTAATGATTTTGATGTATGTGATCGTTCAAAATAATTTAAATTTTGCTGATAGAAATTATCAGTAAAATCATTAGGACGTTCACATGAAGGATCTATAAATGGTCTACAAAAAAAAAATAAATTTTAATGATTTAAATAGAAAATATTTTATTCATATTACAGCAGTAGACAACAATCTCACCCTTTTATCAGATCTCAACTACCATGGGGACTGAAAGATTTGAAAATTCGTATGCACATAATCAATCAAAAATGTAGTTCTTTGAACTTGATACTTCTGAAAAGACAAGGTTTTATGGATTAGCTGATCTCTCTCTCAGGTATCGATGCTATTAATTTCATCAAAGTCCATAAATTCTTGTTAGAATGGTGATCATTTTAGTGTAACTATTCGATGGACGAAAAACTCTCTGATCCTCTTTGCACATCGTAAATTAATAATACTTAAATAAATTGACCTCAAACCTTTAAGAAAACTTTGCTTATAATAAATCATTATTGTCAATATGTCTCAGAAAAAAACCTTATTTTAAAAAGAAACGGCATATTAAGTGTCATCGTGTTGATGTCGAGAGCTCAAAGATATTCAGAGACAGCAATCTTGTAGCAAGTTATATGATCTGTTGAATGATAAAAGACCATATACTGGGTTTCAATTGCAAATAAAAATATCAAGAATTCGTCATGTATTTGATAACAGGTAATTCAAAATTTACTAGACAGCATTTTCAGATTAAAAAGCTTGAAGCAAAAATAGACGTCATTCATCATAATTCTCGTTAATTGTGGCGACATCGTACCTCTGACTTAGATTCTTAGTAGAGTATGTGCACACAAATTTTCAGATCTCCTACATGTATGGAAGCTGAGATGTGCTGGGAAGAGGGCGATTTTTTGTCTGCTACTATATTTACTTTTTATTTGTTAATAATTCAAATGTTTGTTCAAGTAATCGTTCAGCTCCGCCTTCTTTACCATGTATTGTTGCATTAATAAATTCAATTGAAATTGGAAGATTTTTTTTTGCTATAAATTGCTTAATAAGTGCCCAATTTAATAAACGAGAATTCAATGAACGACCATTTATAAAAGCAAACATATTTATTTCATTAGGAAAATAAGCATGTAAAATTTCTGCATATGCATAACCATTTGATAAATCCCTTGAAATAGAAATAAATATTCAATCTCTAACAAAACTACTCATTAATTTTATATTATTTTGATTCAAGTATTTTAAAATTTTTATTTCGTTTATGATTTTATGTTATTCAAAAAATATATATTCCGGCAAGTTTGAATTAAAAGAATATAAAGTGATGTATATGTTATTTAAAGAAGAAAATTGAAGTGTTTTGACAAGAATATAACATACCATTTTGGTACAACTATAGGATATGTAAGGTAAAGACTTTCGAGCCAACGAAGAATTTCACGAGCTGTTCGAGCAACCATGGTGAAGGAAAAATTTTGTTTTCTTATGCAAAGAGATAAAGTAACTGTCTTCTTTCCTTACATAGATTCGTTGCTAAGATACGACCTTCTTTTTTCCAATCAAAATCAATTAATTGAATAAAATAAATACAAATTTTGAATAGAAATAGAAATTAATATTAAATAAATCTATCAAAAAATCTAAAAGAATATTTTAAATATCTAAATACTCAATATTTGATTGGTTAATTATTTATCTATTTCTAGGTCTTATACCGCTAGTTTGTAATAGTAAATCGTTTTACATAGAATATGTCAGATTTAAATTACGTATATAAAGATATAAAAAGTAAAAATAATCAACAACAACAAGAAAAAATGTCATTAACAAATGGTATAAATTAATAATTTTCTAAATAAATCAGTTTTAAAATTTTTTTTTGTTAGATGAATCAAATATGATTTCAATATCCATTCAAAGATCATCTATGTTAGAAAATAATTTAAAACAAAATTCTATTAACATAATAGTAAATGAATCGTATGATGAAAATGATTCTGAATACGAAGATGTGGAAAGTGAACAAGAATTTAATGAAATAAAGAATATATCTTCTGTATTAACTTCTATTTCAAATAAAAATTCTTTACAAGTAGAAATTACAATAATTTCATTTGATTTCTTTCTTTTTTTTTATTTCTTTTTAATCTTAGACACTTCTGGATGAAGATGTATTACATCTAAAAGTTAAACCTCGACGTTTAAATAACAGACGTCAAGATGATGAATATTCCGAAGGTTATGACGGTGATAATGAAAATCAAAATGTACCAAATATAATTCGTAATATAAAAAAATCTGATAAAAATAAGAATATACTCGATGATGATAATAATGCTCAAAGTCCAGCTTATATTCCACGTAAAGGAAAATTTTATGAACATGATGATCGAACATTGGATGAAAAAGATCGATTAAAACAGTAATATGAAAATTTTTAATTCTTTTTCAATATAATTTATTCATTTGTTTTCTTTTTTTTAAGAGAAATATCAAAAAATACTAATCGATTTGATAGAGATTCAGATGGTAAATGGCAACATGATTTGTATTTTCGAGATGAACAAATATTCAGATCTCGATCTTCATTACATAAACAAGATCGTCATCATTTCGAGTAATTTTCATCGAATGAGAAAATGATTCGAACTGATAAATGCCATTTGAGCTCATATTCGATTCATAAGAAGGTCTGAGTAAGACTAGAGAAATTCTACAAACGACCGTTTTTTAAAAATTCAATATTTTGACCAAGAAATGTCCTTTTCGACTGAAACTTTCAGGATTTTCTACTAATCATTCGACCTATTTACAAACGAAATTTCAGATCGAAATATTGTTATTTGATTTCTCCGAAAATGCCTAAAATTAGATCGAAAATTCAGTAAAACAGCTATAACTCAGCCGTAGAAGTTCATGGGTACGAATCATTTTTGGGGTTTTTTATAGTCTTACCGAAACCTTCTTGTGAACCCAATATGAACTCCAACGGTAGGTATTAGTTCGAGTAGTTTTCTCGTAAGAGTTCAATTTTTATTGACAAATTCTTTAGACATGGTAATAATGTTGCTCAAGAACAACTTCATTTAAATGATTACATATCTCGATCTCAAAAAGGACGTAGTGGCTATAATCAACAACAATATTATAATGATTATCGTCAACCAATTCCACAGAAAAATTTTAATAATAAATTACATAATGATCGAAAAGATGATTTCGATTTTCAAGATTATGGTCGTTTATTATCAAATAATCATAATGTTGGTTATAATAGAAATATAAATACTTATGAAAAATCACAAACAACAGTTCGTCAACAACAACATGATTATAATCCATATAAAATTGATGAACGAATATTTCATCGTAGAAGAAATTTTACAAATAGTCAATTTCAACAGCAAGATATTGTATCAAAATTTTATAATGATAATCCTCATGGAAATATTCACAGACGATTCAATGAAAAATCAAATGAAAATAATCAATTCAAAAAAAATTATGAATATTATAATACTAGTAACAAAAATCAACAAGAAAATCGAAATTTAAAAAGATATGAATTCTATGAAAATAAGAATAATTTACCACCTCGTTTTCAAATTATTAATAATAAACGAGATCTAATACAAAAACAACAATATCAACGTAAATTAATGATAATAAAAAATCTTCTTAAATATTATTCTTTTGTTTTAGAAAATTCAAATTTAAATCTTTCAATTGATAATTCAAATATTGAACGTTCTAAACGATATTCAAACATGCGTAATAATATGACAAATTCAATTCAACAAACACTATTATCAAAAATACAAAATTATCAAGATCAACATTCTAATGATATTGAACTAAGTATTTCAATTAATTCTTGATATTTGATTCGATATGAATCTTTTGGAATAATTTAGATGATTGGCCACAAGCACCACCACCTCCAACATCATATCTTCCTCAACAAAACACAACATCTCAAATATCTTACCAACAACAAAATTTACAATACATTCCAAGAAATTATTCGCCAGCATCTATTTCACAAAAGGTTTTTAAAAATGTTTCTTTTTATGAAACATGTTCTAAAAGGAGTACTGCAGTATATTGGGTAAAAATGTTCACCCCTCTCCTACAGACAATGATAGACAAGATCGACTGACTGTGACAGATACATTAGAGACGGCTCATGACAGAAGTGACACATCACAGACGTGACAGACAGTGTAGTAACACTTTCTTCTTTTCGCGTCACAAATCACGACAAATATTGTTGATATACGATCAAAGATTGTACATCAATAGTATATTTCATTATAATATATGAGCTAGTTCCTTATTGCATTTCTAGAAGATACAGTAAAACGATGATGGAGAAATGTATTGTGAAATAGATACAATAAAACGATGTGCCTTTGTTTAACAATAATAGTAGCAATATTCTGTTTCATATTTGAATATTATAATGATTGCACTAACAGCCTTTTAATTAGAATCAATAAATTTTTGTATAAAGAAGCTTGTATCTTTTCTGAAGAAATATATTTTCTATTAGATGTTAACATCATTTGACGTGTTCTCCATGTTTTTATTACTTTGCCAGATTTTCTAATAACAGAGAAGAAGTCAAATGTCAAGAATTACTGTTATGGAAAATCGAATGATACGCTAAGCGTTATTGCAAGGACTAATATTGAAGTATAATACTAAGAAGAAACTACACTAAAGAACAATTACATATAGCATTGATTTATACTAGGAAAATGTATGTAACTGTTTGTTGTTGGATAGTATATCATGTGATAAAAGATTTGCAATGCTTCAATCGATTATGAACATTTTCATTACAACTAAATAAATAATAATAAAATTTTTGTCATTCAAGATCATAATTCTAAATGTATAGTTTTATGAACAATCAAAGTCAAATTAATAGATTAAATTAGAACAAAATTTTATTTTGCATCATTGATTAATAATTGAATTATTTGCTAAACGACAAAATTTTTAATAGAAAAGTATCATATAAACAATTTACGTCCTAAAATAGTTTGTAACTAATACTAAAGGTTTTATAGATAGTAGTCTCTTTTTCTAATGTAAAAAAGCAATTTATTGAATTTCGAATGAATCTTTTTATTACAATCTTACGAAAAAAAATTCATTTTCTTCTAGCTTCAAGAAAATAAATAATATCAAATAATCACAATCAAATCTTGCAAAGTTTGAAGTAATAGTAAAGAAAATGTAATTGAACAAACAAAAAAAAACTAGAAGAAAGAAAATTGAAGAGAATCAACATCAATCCTCTGTTTTTTTTTTCAAATGTTCAATTTATAATTGTATGTATATTTATTAGACGAATTTTTTTCTTTGATTAATTTTTTTTTCTTGTTTTATTTAGTTCACTATACTTCATACTATTGTTGTACAAGAAGATTTGCTCAAGTTTACATATACTTCTTTGATTATATGCAATTTATAGTTCATTTTCTTTTGTTGTTGTGTTTTGTTTTGTTTTTCGTTGTTAAAAAATAGAAAGGGTTAATCGTTTTTTTCTTTTTTTTTGCTTAAACATGAAAATTATATTTTCCAGAAGAGAAAACAGAACAGGAAAAATCTCATGGTTATTGTTTAATCATTACTTATTGTTGAGTAAATGTGCATGTTCGATCAATCGTTTAATTTAGAACTGATATACTTGCTTAACTTCTTTCTACAAAAAAAAAACCAGATTTTCTTTCTTTTGATGATCATCTTCAGACATGAATCAATGATATATTGAATACGATTGATTTATTTTCTTAACAAATTCGTTCGTTTCACATAATTATATTCTTCTATTATGGTTATCAAAGATTATATGACTGGTTATTCTCATGATTTTTTCCTTTTTTTATTTTTGTTTGGCCTTGTTTTAGTTATCTCATTTTGAATGGCATTCACAGTTGGTAGCGTCATCAATGTTCTATTATCATTTTCTGATAACCAGACGATGCCCTTATTTTTCTGTATCTATGACCGTTTATAATGCCATTTGTTCGCTATTTCCTTAGAACAAATAATGACATCCAGTAAGTTATAGTTTAGTTTAAGCTGAATGATTTTTCGATAAGAATATGATGCTGTCATTTAAATATATACATACTAAAAACTACTATTACTGAAGAATCAATCAAAAAAAAAAGTGAAGTTATATATACTTATTCTGTTCTGTATTGATTTCTACTTGAAAGAACATCACAGCTGTCATATATTGTTCGTCTCTTACATGTATATTTACAAGCAACCAACTTCCTAAGCAGACGAATTATCTAAAAAAAAAAGCATAAGCCTTTAAAAATCAGCAAGTTTTAATCAACATATTTCTTTAGAAATGTTATACAACAACATAACTAGATATTTTCTTTTATTAATTTATTCATTTGAATTAACAAGTAAGTTTTACGTGGAATAATACATATATATATATATATATAAAGAAATTGTAAAAATAGCTGGAGGCTTGCATCAACGTCGTTTATTAAAATATTTACTTGAAGAACAACAATATGATCCGCTTGAAAGACCTGTTTTCAATGATTCAGATACTTTACTAGTATCAATGAGTTTAGCTATTCAACAAATAATTGATTTTGTGAGTTTTCAAAAAAAGAAAAAAGAAAAAAATATATCTAGTTTTTATTAAACAGGATGAAAAGAATGAAATTCTTGCTATTAGTGGTTGGTTAGTTCTTGTAAGTGTATTAAAAATTCTTTCTTTTTCTCTATTTAATAAAATATATATATATTTAGGAATGGTTTGATTATAATTTACAATGGAAACCAGAAGATTATGGAGGTATTCAATCAATTCGTCTACCAAGTACACGTGTATGGACACCAGATGTTGTTCTTTATAATAGGTAAAAATAAAAAGAAGAAAACGAGCAGTAGACAAAGAAATATATTTTATTTAAAGTGCAAGTGAAAATTTCGAAGGTACAATGAAAACAAATTTAGTTGTACAATATAATGGCACTATATTATCTGTTCCACCTGGTATATTAAAATCAATATGTCCTTTTAATATTGCATCATTTCCATTTGTAAGTTTTAATTAATAAATTATTTCATATTGTTTCTTTTATATTATTTATATTTTTTATTAAATTTTTTTTGGACATACAAAATTGCACATTAAAATTTGGTTCATGGTCTTTTGATGAATCTGGTTTGTAGAAAAATAATTTTCAAAATATTCAGCAAAAATAATGTTTTTCTTTGTTTTTTTGTAAACATAGGTGTTAATTTGACTACTAATAGTGATACAGGTCAATTAGATGCATATGTTAAAAATGCTGAATGGGATTTAGAAGGTACAAAATTTGTAAAATTTTATAGAAATTTTTTTTTTTAGTCTTTTTTATTATATAGCTTTTGTTGCAACAAGAAAAGCATTTGTTTATGAATGTTGTCCAACTGTATATCCGTTTGTTCTTTTTACTATTCAAATACGTCGACGTACACTTTATTATGTAGTCAATGTTGTTGGTAAATATTTTTAATTTTTATTTCTTCATTGTTAAATAATTGTCGTAAAAAAAAAAAAAAATATCTGTTTTTGTTTCCTAAATAAGCTTCATTTATGTATAAACTGAATGCTTCGATTATTTGGATTAGTTGCTTGAGTGCATAAGATAGGTTTTTTTTTGTTCTTCAGATCCACATATGGTTTCTAATCGACTTGAATGAATAACGATAATTAAATAATTTCTTTAGTAATTTTTTAACTGATTTTTATCAATACATTTCATAAATCTGATATTATTGATCAAAGATCTTATCTTGACAGTATGTAAACATATGTTTCTTTTATTTAGTACCCTGTGTTCTCATTAGTTTTATGACTGTACTTGGCTTTCTTCTTCCACCGGATAGCGGTGAAAAATTAACATTACGTAAGCAGATTTTGTCTGTAATACATAACAATTCATTTTATTTTGACTTTTTTTTTTTATAGAAATAACAATACTTCTTTCAATAGTCATGTTCAGTTTATTAATCTCAGGCATTATACCAGCCAGTTCAACAGCATTACCAACAATTGTTATGTATTTTGCAACAGTTATGTGTTTATGTACAATGTCAGTAATTGCTACTGTTCTTGTACTTGTTCTTCATCATCGTAATGCTAAAAGTCATACAATGCCGATGTGGGTTAGATATTTTCAAATTAAAATTTTTTTATTTTTTTTTGTTTTTTATTATTAAAACAAAAATCGTTTGTTTTTTCCTAGGTTAAAGTATATGTCAATCAATATCTTGCATGGCTTTTATGTATGGGTCGTCCAGAACATGATTTAAGTTGGAAAGCAATACGTCTTCAACATCGTCGTACAATTGAACGACAAAATAGTATAACAAGTAATCAAAAATGCGTACCAACACCATTATTAGCTAATTCATCAAAATCTTTATTAGCTAATGTAACTAGTAGTGATGATCAACCTTATATTTATTCAAGTAATACATTACCAACTAATATAATGAATCATATTGTTCCACGTCAACAACCTAAATGTAAAAATCCTCATCATCAACATGATCCAAATGAAATATTACTTCCACGTGATATGCGTGTATTTCGTTCTGAAATGCGTACAATTATATCTGAACTTCGAATACTTACAGATCATGTTAAAAAAGAAGAAGATGAAGATGATATATCACAAGATTGGAAATTTTCAGCTATGGTTCTTGATCGTTTATGTCTTATTGTATTTACTACATTGACAACATTATTAAGTTATGCTACACTTTTTTCTGCAAAAAATTTTTTCAAACTTCGATAAAGATTATTTTTGATTGTCTTCATTCTTATCTTTTCTTTGTGTATACATGTGTGCGTATGTGTATGTGTTTGTATAAGTATGCTTTCTTTTTATATAAAGACAGAAGAAAAAAAAAAAGATTGATGATAAGTTTTGACAACGAACAAGTAAAAGAGGTCGACTGTCTCTCTCTCTCTCTCATATTTTTTTTTTACGATCAGCATCACACTTGCATGTTAATTGCTCTCTCTGCTCTCCGAATTTGTTATTCTTGTCGATAGAACATAAAGCTGCGGTATTTTGTCAATGACATTAAGGTGAGTCGAGTGATTTGAAGCATATAGACTAATAGTTTTTTGAGCACATATATATATATATATGCATATATTGTTATTCGAAAACGAAAGTCTAAATGAGACTATTTAACTGCATTTCATTTCAATTCATTGTTCCATTTACTCATCTATAAATAGTTGATTGCTGATTCATCGTTTATATGAGTAGGAGTTCAATTTCCGCTGGAGTCAAGTATGTTTGTGTGGGAAATGGAAGAAAAAAAAAGCGAAGAATGTTTGTTGGCTGCATGCCGTACGCTCATTTTTTTTTTCTAGTTGTTTGAATCCCCGCGAGCATAGATGACAATATGGACGAATGACTAATCGAGTGAAAGAGAGTCAATGTCCTTAGGGAGGATACGGCAACAACATTCAGTAGCGATCAAAATTGAATCGTTTTCGTTTATTTTCAGAGACAGAGAGAAAGAAAGAATTATACTTTCTAATGAGTTAATCCATTTTCTTTTAAGTTCAATATATGAAGTATGATGAATCATTTTGTCACATCAAACATCTATTATCTTAATATTATTAAACATAAGAAGGAAAAACTTGTTTGTTAGTCAGCTAAGTTTCTCTCGTTTTTTTCTTCTTCTTCTTCATATTCACATGAACCAATCAATAACGAGAGAAATATTAGAATGAGAGGTTAGTTTCACGTCACTGTTAGTTGAATAGAGGAGTAGGAAAAAGAAAATGAGAGAGAAAAGAATAGTTCATGCATTGTTCTTTTTTTTTTTTGGCATAAGTCATTCGGCCTCAAGTAAGTTTGTTATATCTCTCTATTTGACTGTTTAATCTCGACTAATTCATATCGTCTCATCATTATTATTCGAAAAACTTAAGCTTAACTAAATATAGGTGTTAAGATTACTACTACTACTCCTATTTCATTTTTCTATCTTGAATATTTATATTCAAATAAGTATCCTTTTGATATGTACAATGTAAATTTTTTTTTCGATCTATGCCAACAGACATCTTTTGTTCATAAAGAAATATTATTGTTATTGAATCGTCTATGTGACAAATGAGTTATTGATGAGATGAACTCCTGGACGGCAACAGCACGTTTCTCTTTCTTTTCTCTCATCAAAAAGCAATCATTGAACTGCAAACGTACACATATACATTTGTTTTAAAAAGACGAACATACACACACGTTTACATTTTCTATATTTATCCTAATGAGTACTATGGTAAGTCTATCGATTTGAAGAGTTGAAATCCTTGTGAAGAGAGTCATACGTCGTGAGAAAAAGACGCAAGAAAAAAAAAAGCCTGTGATGAATAATCTTGTTATTGTTGCACTCAGTGAACATTTTTCTTCATCATCAAAATGCCACCCACAAATATGTATATTAGTAGGAAAAAAAAGAATGAGTGTCACCATTTTGTCGTCATCGTCATCGTTGTTACATATAATGATCGATTTTAAGGCTTCAAAAGCGTCAATAATATTTTCAGTATAGGTATGCAGCAGACAAGAAAAAAAAAGGAGTGAATGATGTAATCTGTTTAGCATCATCCGTAATCGTTGAACAATCAATATAAATATATTTGAATCGACTATGAATACAAAAGATGTCAATATAAGAAAATTGTTAAAATTCAATAAGAAAGAGAAAAAGAAAAAAACGAAAACGAAATCGTTTTATACCTGTTATAAGTTTAAAAAAATTAAATTGCAAGTAAGTAAAGAAAAGAATAAAAAAAGAAACTTTCATTTTTCTCGTTATTTCAATGTGCATTTTTGCCTTTGAAATATATGCTTTTTTTAACTTTCGCCGCATGTCTCAATGATGAAAAGATCATAATGATTATTTTTAATGAGACTCTAATTTGATATTTTAGATTTAAACTGTTTTAATGCCACGCATTATTGATAATCTCATTCATTTCAATGGTAAAGGTGACGAGGTAAGATACAATAAAATAAACTTTTTTTTTTAATTTATACATATTTAACTTAATTCATATGCAGAGTTCTACAACAGGTCGACGAGTAGGAATATAAGAGCATTTTTTTTTGAATAATTTTATTAACGCTAACCAGCTGTTCTTTTTGACTGATTTGATTTAATTTTTGAGCACATGCATCTATGCCATACTCAATTAGAATTGCTTTTCTTTTCATTTTGTTGATCGAGGACACTGTCCGAGTACTCTGTCTCCTTTTCATTACTTGTAAATATATCAATCGAAGTATATTTATTCTATTTCTATATATTGAACACGTGTCAACTATATTAGATATCAGGCGAATTTGATTTCCGTTGTCAAATAGAACAAATGAAATGAATGTGTGATCGATTGAGTGTCAATATCTAATTATTAAAAACGAGAAATTAAAAATGATTGTATCCATGTTGAAGTGTTCATACTCTTTTTCTTTTATTTTTTTGAAAGTGACAGTTGCTTTTCTTTTGTTTAATTTTCTATTCTTTTAAGTGGTATCACTAGTTCATTTGTTTTTTTTTTCCTTTACTTTGATAGAGATAACAATTGATGATCATGATCATTATGAAGAAGACATACAGACTTCTGAACTTCGGATAACTAGACAAACATATACACATACGTTTAGATAAGACATGTAAAGCGTATCAGTATGTTATACATTTTGTTTTGTTTTTTATCGAAAGAGCGGTCAATGATGAAACACAATGTATCGACATATTTATGAATTCTATTGATGATTAGAGAGGGAAAAACGCGCCTATACTCTTATTTGAACATATATGATACTCGATTTTCACGTCAACTTGAACTTTGTAATTCTGTCTTAGATATATATTTGCATAAAAATATGCATAGTTTGTATGTCTATTTTGATCGATCGATGATGATGATGATGAGATGAGAAGGAAAGGAGGGAAAAAGAAGGAGAGGGGGGAAGGTTGGGCTGGCACTGACGCCAATCGATCGATCAAATTAGTCTTGCATTCTCTCCTATGTATGCGTGTCTGTCTGTTTTTGTTGTGTATTCTCTTTTCTTATTCTACAGATCGATAAATGCGCAGCTGCCCGTCAAATTAGTTCGATCGATATCATTCGAAAGTTCCTAAGAAGAAAACAATGGAGGCGTGTTTATGGCTAACAGCAATCATATTGTGCATTCAAGCTAAGAAAATCAATTTATTTTCATCATGCTGTTTTTGTCTCTCTCGTTCTTCTTTGATTAGAATATAATCATGTTCACTCTCTTTTTTTATACCACAGAATTGATTTGTTCTCTGTAAATATATAGTTTTGAGTTACTTCACCATCGATTATTATTCGAGTCTGATTCATATGTTTTATTTATTTATTTTTTTTTTTGAGAATATATCAACTCATATTTTGATTCGATGAGTGGTATATGTGTTGAGAGAGAGAGAGAGAGAGAGAGGTAGGATAAAATTAAGGGAAGTGTAGACACACACATACAAGTAATAAATGCCATCGAATGAGTAAAATAGTCTGGCATTTACAAAATGATTCTCTATTTCGGATTGGTTATAATATATAATGATTTTAACAAAATTATCATATTAGTTGTCATTTGTTTTTTTTGTGAGTTCGAAATAAAAATGGGTATGAAACAATCACGAAAATTTCATGCACAGAGAGAAACAATGGAAATTATTATTCAGGAGCAGGTAGATATTGATCGAAAATAAAAAATATGCGCATAGATGCACAAATTTGAATTCTTGCTTATTAATTTTACGCTTGATTTAAATGTTTGCTTTTCTTCCTTTTTTTTTCGTCTATATTATTTTTCAATTTAGAGTACACCTGCTTCGTCAAATAGAATGGGTTTGGTGAATTTAAGAGATTTAGTCGAATCAGTTGCACATAAATGGTATAAAGATAATGAA